TCCCCGATGCCGGCCCATCACAGATGTGCTCCTTGATGATCTTCTCAAAGAGTTTTCCCAGGATTGAGGTAAGACTGACGAGCCTATAGTTGCCTGGGTCCTCCCTCCTCCCTTTTTTAAAGACGGGAACCACACTGGCTATCTTCCAATCATCTGGCACCTGGCCCAAGCACCACAAGCACTCGTAAAGTCATGCCAAGGGCCCTGCAATAACCCCTGCTAGCTCCCTCAACCCCCTGGGGTGGAGAGCATCTGGACCTGCTGATTTGAACATGTCCAGCCCCTCCAGAAGCATTCTAACCCAGTCCTCCTCAACCTTAGGTCTTGGGGCGTTCCCCTCGAGTCCGTCTTGAATCACGGTGGGGGAGTCCCAGTCCCTGCACAAGAAAACGGAGGTGAAGAATTTGTTAAAGAGGTCTGCCTTCTCCTCTGGCGCAACCACCAGATTGCCCAGCGTATCTTGCAGCGGCCCCACCTTTCCCAGCGCCTTCTTCATCCTCCCTATATATTTGAAAAAGGACTTTTTATCATCTTTGATCTTGGATGCTAGTCCTAGCTCTATGTCCGCCTTAGCTTTCCTAACAACCCCCCTACAGGCCTGAGCAGTGGAGGTATACTCCTCTTTGGAGATCACCCCCACCTTCCACTGGGTGTACACCGCCTTTTTGGCAACCAGGCATTCCCAGACATCCTTGGTGAGCCAGGGAGGCTTTTGGGCACTCTCGCCCCCCTTGCTTCTTGTTGGGATCGTCACCCCTTGGGCCCTGAGTATCGTCTCCTTAAGGAACGACCACTCATCTTGGGCACTGAGTTCTCCTGCCCTCGAGAACCCCATAATTATCTGATTATGTAGCATTCTTCCACCTTCTAACACTTACCCAAACCTATATCCCAATAATATGAAACAGCTCAAAACATCAAAAAAGTACTGGGACTATAGGTATTGTGAGAGTCTAAATGACATGTACTGTCCCAGAGGAAAATCTTGTAGAAGGTTCACTTGGTGATATAAGGCAGGAGGCTGCCTAGGGCATGAATAAAATAAATAAATATCTTCATTCATTTTAAAGTAATGGTCAAATGAAATATATCAAAAGGCAAATTTACTACTGAAAGCTATTAACAAGTATCTCAATTTTAGATCATTTTAGACTATTAGCAATCCTTTGGACACTTTTTCTGTAGGATTATTAGTTAATAGATTAATTTACTCATGATACATCTGGCAAATATTATATACAATGGATAGTGATTCTCAATCATCCAGGGCCTGGCGTCGTGCAGGCACTAAGGTGCATGCTCGACAGCCCAGAGGTCACAAGTTTAAGGCCATAGCAGAAGCATTCACAGTGTGGTCCTGCCAGATTCCAATGAATCTGTGAATTCTGCTAAATACCTTGTCATAAGAACACAAAATAGGAAAGGAAGAGTTAGAGCAGCCGTGTCCACAACAACAGGCAAAACTTTCCTTTTGGGGGGAGTAGTAGATACACTAGAGAAGAGGCAGGCAAAATGCGGTCCATGGGCCACATCCTGCCCGCCAGGCCATTCTATCTGGCCTAATTAGAAAATTAATATTTATCTGCT